GGGAATGATATTGTTAAACTTTGAGATGATGCTATGGCTTTAAGAGGTGTGTCTTGTCCTGTTTTCTTTTAAAGAGAGATTGGGGGAACAGGCACCGAGCTGTCCATGAGAAGATAAGCAACTCGTGAGGCCTTGGGTTTTTTTTTGTAAAGTTGGAACAATAGAAGCAGCCTGAGTGGGTGGTGTCAAGCTCTCACAGATCAAGGATTTTTAATAAAAACCGAAAGAACTGCGGATGCTGTAAATCAGGAGCAAAAGCAAAGTTGCTGGAAAAGCTCAGCAGGTCTGGCAGTATCTGTGAAGGAAAAAACAGAGTTAATGTTTCGGGTCCGGTGATCCTTGAAGGGTCGCACCAGCCTTCGTCAGTTACATAAAAATAACTCTTTATTGCAACAAACACTTAAGTAAAAAGCCGAGAAAAGAAAGGGTTTGTAATCCATTTCTTGATTCCACTTAAGATTTTGCATTTTTTTTTCCCCTCTGACCTTAAACCTATGCCCCTCTAGTTTAGAGCTCCCCTAACCTGAGGAAAAGACCTTGGCTATTCATCCTATCCATGCCCCTGATGATTTTATAAACCTCTGTAAGGTCACCCCTCAGCCTCCGATGCTCCAGGGAAAATAGCCCCAGCCTATCCAGCCTCCCCCTGAAGCTCAAACCCTCCAAGCCCGAATCTGATTTGCAGGAAGTGACAAATGCAATCTTGTCAGGGTCTGTGTTAGGCCCTCAGTGTTTCAAGATTTATTTTAATGGTTTTGAGAAGGTGCATGGAGCCATGGTTGTTAAATTAGTAAGTCATACAGGACAAAAGAGCCCTTTGGCAAGTCAAGTCTGAGTCAAGACAAATCAGTGTAGGACTTAAATGGTAAGGCGCTGGGGAGTGACGCTGAACAAAGAGGCCCTGGGGTGCAGGTTCACAGTTCCTTGAAGGTGGAGTCGCAGGTAGAATAGGGCAGTGAAGAAAGTGCTTGGTACGCTTGCTGTTATTGGTCAGTGCGTTGAGTACAGGAGTTGGGAGGGTCATGTTGTGGCTGTACAGGACATTGGTTAGGGCCACTTTTGGAATACTGTGTGTAATTCTGGTCTCCCTACTATAGGAAGGATGTTGTGAAACTTGAGAAGGTGTGGAAAAGATTTACAAGGATGTTGCCGGGGTTGGAGGGTTTGAGCTGTAGGGGGAGGCTGAAAAGGCTGGGGCTGTTTTCCCTGGAACGTCGGCAGTTGCTGTCTCTGGCAGAGAGTTCCTGGTGTGTAGAGGTGCTTCCTAACATCTCTCCTGAACAGTCTGGCCCTAATTTTTAGACTATTCCCCCTCGTTCTAGAATCTCCAACTGGTGGAAATAGTTTACTTTTATCTCTTAGACTCCCTACAGTGTGGAAGCAGGCCATTCAGCCCATCGAGACTGCACCGAACCTCCGAAACAGTATCCCACCCAAATCCCCACCTCACGCCCCTACTCTATCACTGTAATGCTGCATTTCCCATGGCTAACCCACCGAGCCTGCACATCCCTGGACACTATAGAATTGCAGCATAGAACCCCTACAGTGTGGAAGCAGGCCATTCAGCCCATTGATTCCAACTGACCCTCCAAAGTGCACCTCGCCCAGACCCACCCCTCTACCCTAGCCCTGTCACTCTGCATTTCCCATGGCCAACCGACCTAACCTGCACATCTTTGGACTGTGGGAAGAAACCGGAGCACCCGGAGGAAAACCCCACAGACACGGGGGGCACAGAGAATGTGCAAACTCCACACAGACTGTCGCCTGAGGGTGGAATCGAACATGGGTCTCTGGTGCTGTGAGGCAGTACAGCTGACCACTGAACCACCGTGCTGCCCCAGTCTCAGACAGTGACTCCCCATGCAGGATGTGAAATAATATGTACATTTTCCTTACTGGATGGAAATGTGTACAATACAATATATTAAAACCTTAAACAAAAACAGAAATCACTGGAAAAGGTCAGCAGGTCTGGCAGCATCTGTGGAGAGAAATCTGAGTTAACGTTTCAGGTCCAATGACCCTTCCTCTTGAATAAAAGAAGACACACATACAATTTTGTTATAAAGAAAATTTATTAGCTTACTCTACTTGAGATCTGTGCAAACTAATGAGTGAATCTATTCGCTTAAACTACTGCAGACATCATCGTTATCATCAGGGTCCCTCACAGACAAGAATGTCATTCTCTTCCACTCTCAGGGTGAGTCCACAGGTGGCTGTACAGATGGATGCAGCTACCACAGGCTCTGTTACACTCGGGGCAGGAGGGGGTCACACGGGAAGGGGTGGGTGGGGCGTTGATGCAACAGCGCACTCCTTACGCTGTTTCATGTCGATACCTTCCCGCATGCTCCTCCTCCACTTTGGACAGTCCTGGGCCAGTGACTCCCAGGCGTCTGTGGGAATATCACATTTCACCAGTGAGGGCTTGAGGTTATCCCTGAAACGTTTCCTCTGTCCACCTGGGGCTCACGGACATTTTCAAGCAGAAAGTCTCACTGCCTTCTGTCTGTTGGGAGTCCTGAGTGGTGGCTGGCACTCGGAAGCCCCAAAATATAAAAACAAATTGAGACTTTCCAGAAATATTTTTAAACAGGTTTAATAAAATGAGCTTAGGTCCTACTGAATGTGAATTTACAGACATAACGATGGAAACTAAGCAACTGGCAGGTGAATTTGCAACAGTCTTTAGTGCTGAGGAATTAAGTGACATCCCAGAAGGAGCAATAAATCAGGAAATTGAAGGGAGGGAGAAAGTCTGTAAAATAACAAGCACCATGGTAGTGATACAGAGAGAATTGATGGACCTTTACACTGACAAGTGCCCAGGTCTAAATCTAATTCATCCTCAGATATAATAAGCATTGGCTAGTGAGATAATTGGTGCGTTGGTTTTAATTTTCCAAAAATCCCCTGATTTGTGCAAGACCCTAATATTGAGGGGGGTGGCATGGCAGCTCAGGGGTTAGCACTGCCGCCTCACAGTGCCAGGGTCCTGGCTTCGATTCTGGCTCTGGTGAATGTCTGTGCGGAATTTGCGTGTTCTCCCTGTGGGTTTCCTCCCACAGTCCCAAGATGTGCAGGTTTGGGTGGATTTGGCCATGCTAAATTGCCCACAGTGTCCAGGGATGTGTAGGCTTAGGTATGGGAATGGGTGGGAGGCTGTTCAGAGGGGCAGTGAGGACTGGATAGAATGAAGGGCCTGTTCCCATACTGTAGGGATTCTATATATCACAAATGTAACTCCCTCGTGCAAAAATGGAGGGAGATGAAGAGCAGGAAGCTACAGGCCTGTTAGCTTAACATCTGTCATTAGAAGTATGAAATAATTCATAGCAGGGTATTTAAGTAAGTTCAAGAGAATCAAGCAAAGTCAGTATGGTTTTGTTAAGGGGAGATCATGTCTGACCCTACCTACCGGATTCCTCGGAGGAAGTAATATGTGCAGTGGATCAAGGAGAACCAGTTGATGTACAATATTTGGATTTCCAGAAGGCACTCGAGAAAGTGCCACATCAAAGACGATTGTGGAAATTTAAAGCTCACAATGTCGTCAATAGTAAATTGGCAATGTATAGAAGTTTGGCTGGCTAACTCGATGCAGACAGTAGGTAAAAATGGTATCAGAGATAGGAACTGCAGATGCTGGAGAATCTGAGATAACAAGGTGTAGAGCTGGATGAACACAGCAGGCCAAGCAGCATCAGAGGAGCAGGAAGGCTGACGTTTCGGGCCTAGACCCTTCATCAGAAAAATGGGTCTTTTTAGGGTGTTAATATGTCCCGAGAGGTGCACTATACAGATTGGTGAAGGAACTTCGACTGTTTACAACAGATAAACGTGGTTTGGATGAAAGGACAGAGGGCATGGTGGTCAAATCTGTTGATGACACAAAGTCAGGTACGAACGTAAGCTGTGATGAGATCAGGAGGCTGCAAAATGTTACAGTTAGTTTATCTGAGTTGGCAAACAGATGGCAAATGAAGTATGATGTGAGAAGATGGGAAATTGTCCATTTGCGCAGGAATAATTTAAAAAAAAACACTGAAATGGTTGCAAAGTCTGTGTTGTCCTTGGGAATGAAAGGCTAGCATGCAAGTACAAACATTTTGTTCATATTTCCCATGGCTAATCCACCTAGCTTGGACATCACTGGATACTATAGACAAATTTAGCATGGCCACTCCACCTAACCTGACCTGATGCACACATCCCTGGATACTATAGGCAATTTTCTTTGGACTCTGGGACGAAACCCACACAGACACAGGGAGAATGTGCAAACTCCACACAGTCACCTGAGGGTGGAATTGAACCCAGATTCCTGGTGCTGTGAGACAGCAGTGCTAACAAGTGAGCCACCCCAATTCAGGAATTAGGGGAACCAATGGAATGATATCATGTATTGCAAGGGCAAGTGCATATAAATGTAGGGAAGCTTTGCTTCAGTTGTAGAGGGTGCTAGTAAGACCACTTCTGGAGTGTTGTACACAGTATTGGTCACCTTATTTAATGCAGGATATAAATATGATTTGATTTGATTTATCGTCACATGTACCCAGGTAAAGTGAAAAGCTTTGTTTGTGAGCAGTATGGGAACATCACGTACAACATTACTTAGTAAGCAAGGACATGCAGGTTTTAAAAAAAAACTTAGACAGAGGCAAAGAGGTTACACTGCACAGGGCATGCGTTGGGCAAGATCAACAGTAACAAGATCAGCATTATTTGAAGTTAGAGAGTCCATTCATCAGTCTAATAGCGGCAGGGAAGAAGCAGTTCTTGAACCTGCTGGTGCATGTGTTCAGGCTTCTGTATCTTCTGCCTGATGGAAGAGGTTGGAAGAGATCATTACGGGGTGTGATGGGTCTTTGATGATATTGGCAGCCTTTCTGCGGCAGTGAGCCGTGTAAATAGAGTCCATGGACGGAAGGTTGGCTTCCGTGATGGTCTGGGCTGTGCACACCACCTTCTGTAGTTTCTTACAATCCCGAGCAGAGCAGTTGCCGTACCAGGCCATTATGGATGCGGACAGTATGCTTCCAATGGCGCATCTGTAAAAGGTTGGTGAGTGACTTTAAGGACATGCCAAATTTCCTGGGCCGCTTGAGGATGAAGAGGCATTGTTGTGCCTTCTTAACTGTCACATCTACGTGGGAAGTCCAAGGCAGGTTGTCAGTTATTTCACTCTGAAGAACTTGACGCTCTCCCATCCCCTGAAACTCAGTTCCGTTGATGCAGATGAGGGGCGTGTTCTCCTCCTTTCTTTCTGAAGTCAATGATCGGTTCTTCAGTTTTGCCGACGGTGAAAGAGAGGTTGTTTGCATTTGCACCACGCCACTAAACCCTCTATCTCCCTTCTGTATTCTGACTCATCGTTTGAGGTTGTTCAGAGAATTTTACCAGATTAACACCTGGAGTGGGCAAGAATACCAAAAGAGGTGACGTGATTGAAACATATAAGATCCTGAGAGGCCTTGAAAGGGTAGATATTGAGACGATATTTACAATTATGGGAGAGGCTGGAACGAGGGGTCACTGATTAAAAAGAAGCGGTTGCCCATTCACTCCCGGATATCCCAGATGTCCTCGTTTTTCAAGGACCGCAACTTCCCCTCCACAGTGGTCGAAAATGCCTTCGACTGTGTCTCCCGCATTTCCCGCAACTCATCCCTCACACCCCCTCCCCGCAATAACAACCAAAACAGAATCCCCCTCGTCCTCACGTACCACCCCACCAACCTCCGAATCCAACGCATCATCCTCTGACACTTCCGCCATCTGCAATCCGACCCCACCACCAAAGACATTTTTCCCTCCCTACCCTTATCTGCTTTCCGGAGGGACCACTCTCTCCGTGACTCCCTTGTCCGCTCCACACTCCCCTCCAGCTCCACCACACCCGGCACTTTTCCCTGCAACCGCAGGAAGTTCTAAACCTGCCCCCACACCTCCCCCCTCACCCCCATCCCAGGCCCTAAGAAGACCTTCCACATCAAACAGATGTTCACCTGCACATCTGCTAATGTGGTATACTGTATCTGCTGTTCCCGTTGTGGCCTCTTCTACATCGGGGAAACCAAGCGGAGGCTTGGGGACCGCCTCGTGGAACACCTACGCTCGGTTCGCACTAAACAACTGCACCTCCCAGTCGCGAACCATTTCAACTCCCCCTCCCACTCCTTGGACGACATGTCCATCCTGGGCCTCCTGCATCACCATAATCATGGGCCCCGAAGGTTGCAGGAACAGCAACTCATATTTCGCTTGGGAACCCTGCAGCCCAAGGGTATCAATGTGGACTTCACAAGCTTCGAAATCTCCCCTCCCCCGACCGCATCCCAAATCCAGCCCAGCTCATCCCCGCCTCCCTAACCATTCCTCCCATCTCAAGCCCCACCCCCATCTCCTACCTCCGAACCTCAGCCCGCCTCCTTGACCTGTCCATCCTCCCTGGACCGACCTATCCCCTCCCTAACTCACCACCTGCACTCACCTTTACTGGCTCCAACCCCGCCTCTTTGACCTGTCTGTCTCCTCTCCAGCTATCTTCTCCTCTATCCATCTTCTATCCGCCTCCCCTTCTCTTCCTATTTATTTCAGAATCCCCTTCCCCCTTCCCCATTTCTGAAGGGTCTCGACCCGAAACGTCAGCTTTCCTGCTCCTCTAATGCTGCTTGGCCTGCTGTCTTCATCCAGCTCTACACCTTGTTATCTCAGGTCGCCCATTTAATGATTGTTTTCCTCTCAGACTGTTGTGACTCTCTGAAACTCTCTCCCTGAGAAGGTTGTGGAAATTGAGTCTTTGAGCATCTTAAGACAGATCTCAACAGATTCTCGGAAAGCCACAGCGTGGGAGGTCAGGACAAGGCCTGAGGACCCATAGAGTCATACAGCACGGAAACAGACCCTTCAGTCCAACCAGTCCAGAAGAACAAAAAAAAGAACAATACAGCTCAGGAACAGGCCGTTCGGCCCTCCAAGCCTGTGCTGACACATTTTGCCCTTCCATACTAAAGCTGTCTTCACTTACAGGATCCATATCCATCTATTGCCTTCCCATTCATGTATTTGTCCAGGTGTTTCTCAAATGCTGCTATTATGTCTGCTTCCACCGCCTCCTCTGGCAGCGCTTTCCAGGCACTCACCGTCTTTTGTGTGAAAAACGTGCCTCGCACGTCTCTTTTAAACATCCCCCCTCGCACCTTGAACCTGTGTCCCCTAGTAATTGCCCCCTCCAACCCTGGGAAAAAGTCTCCTACTTTCCACTCTAACCATTCCATTCGCAATCTTATAAACTTCTATCAGGTTGCCCCTCAACCTCCTGCATTCCAGTGAAAGCAAACCCAGGTCTATCCAACCTTTCTTCATAGCTAAACTCCCCCATACCCAGCCTATCCAGTCTCTCCCTACAAAAACCGAATGTCCTGTCCCTTGATCATCAGTTTACATGCAGGTAGAGCTCGAATTTTCCACGTTGTACGACACCTTTTTGAATGGCTGTGAAAATGCAAGTGCACTACATCTGAGATGAGGAATATTTTGTATTACAATCACAGTGTGCTGTTGTGATTTGAAATTCACTGCCTGGAGGCAAATTCAACTGCATCCTTCAAAAAGGAACTGGAGACCTTTGTGAAAAATAAATGAAGTTAGAGATCGGTGGCATTCTTCGGGTAGTTCTTTCAAAGAGACAGCATGAGTATGATAGACTGAATGGCCTTATTCAATGCTTGAAGAATCTCATGGTCACTTGAAAGGAGGGAATCATCAATGGAGAGTGATATGTTAAAGAAAGCAGGATCTCCACTTCTTTGTGCATTTAGTCCAACAATTAAATACACCTCAGTACTCTCTTAAGTGGCAGATGAATTTCAATACAAAGAGGTGTGTGGCAGGAGGGATAGGCCATACAGGCTTAATGACATGAATCTAAAGAGTGAGCAGGGAGAAAATGACCTGGAGGGACATATGCAGAGATTGGTAGCAGGACACAAAGAGAGAGGAACCTTGAGATCACAATATTTGAATTGGAAGGGGAATGTTGGTGACACTGTAGAAATCCAGGCCATTGAGTACAAAACCAGAGCAATTATCTGAGACCATATCCAGTCATTGGACTGTTTTGATTTAAAGAAATCTTGAGGGACACAATCCCCTCTCGCATTCTCCTTGGCAACATTTCAACCAATCAGCAGCCTTTCCTCAGGGAGTATAAATTGCTGTACCCTTTGAGACTTGGTTTTCTTGTGTGTGTGTCCTGATGAGCAGGAGATGAAACGCTTCAACAAGAGGTCTCCCTTTTCTCAGCAATAAATCTACTTCCTCAGCTTCTGTGGATCATTTTGGTAGGAATGTGCAGTCCCAAGCTCAAACAGCATCAGTCCCACTGGAAGCAAAGTGGGTGAGAGCAGCCAGCCCAGCAGAAAATAACTGTCTGACCCTCCCTCTATCAGAATGAACACAATTTGGTCCCGGATGTGATTCAAAGCAGCAAAAGCAGCAGAACATCAATCACTGCGATCACTTGTGAGCCCGCTGGTGTCTCAGCAGGTGGGACGACTGAGTGAATCCCTTCCCACACTCAGAGCAAGTGAATGGCCTCTCCCTGGTGTGAACTCGCTGGTGTGACAGCAGGCTAGATGACTGAATGAACCCTTTCCCACATACAGAGCAGGTGAACGGCCTCTCCCCAGTGTGACCACGGCAATGTTTCAGCAGCGCGGAGGAATCACTGAATCCCTTCCCGCACTCAGAACAAGTGGACAGCTTCTCCCTAGTGTGAACGCGCTGGTGTCTCAGCAGGGTAGAAGAATGACTGAATCCCTTCCCACACTCGCAGCAGGTGAATGGCTTCTCCCCAGTGTGAACGCGCTGGTGGGTCAGCAGGTTGGACGACTGAGTGAATCCCTTCCCACACACCGAGCAGGTGAATGGCCTCTCCCCGGTGTGAACCCTCTGGTGTTTCTGCAAGCTCGATAACTGAGTGAATTTGTTTCTGCACACGGAGCAGGTGAACGGCCTCTCCCCGGTGTGAACCCGCTGGTGTGTCTGCAGCCCCCATAACTGAGTGAATCTTTTCCCACACTCAGAGCAGGTGAACGGCCTCTCCCCGGTGTGAACCTGCTGGTGTCGCAGCATATCAGATGAGTTGGCAAATCCTTTATCACACGCAGAGCAGGTGAATGGCTTCTCCCCGGAATGAACTCGCTGGTGTGAAAGGAGACTGCACAACTGAGTGAAGCCCTTTCCACAGATGCAGCAGATAAATGGCCTTACTCCAGTATGACTTCGTTGATGTGCTTCCAATGCAGATGGTATCTGGAAACCCTTCCCACAGTCCTCGCATTTCCATGGTTTCACCATACTGTGGGTGTCCATGTGCCTTTCCATTTTTGAACATCAGTTTAAGCCACATTCACAGACTGAACACATAGACGCAGTCTCTGCAAAGGTGATGGCGCAAGTCTTTTCTCAGTCTGTGTAACTGGTTAAAACTCTTTCCACAGTCAGCTCACTGCAACAGTCTCACTCGACCTGGCACACCGATCTTTAAAACCATTTTGACAAACATTCTTTGTTTCAGATTTACAAACAGATGATATTCGGGTCCCAGCAAATCAAGTGATTTTGCCAGATCACGAAGAGAGGCTTGTTTCGAGATTTCTATCTGCAAATCTTCTAATTCTCTGGGGAAGAAAAGGAGTTTGCAAAAGTCATCGCTGTCAGTACAGGACAGAAATCCATAAACAGGCAATTCCCAGTTTCTGTGGCACATTCTTTCCTCTCTCATTCCCTAAAAGCAGTGAATTTCCACACACTTATCCCTCCATTCTCACTCTGCTGTATCTAATGTCCACCCCGCCTCCCACCTCCCCAGGGTGTGACTGACAGACCCACAGCCACCACCTTCCTGCCCTGGGATTTGAAGCAAATGCAACCATCTAACCCTCACTCGCGCAACTGCGCATGTGCCGGGCGCGGTGGCGGCGTCGTCACGAAAGGCCGTGCCCTGGTTGACCAATGGAGAGCCTCGGAGGACCAGAGGTCCTCCAACCAATCAAGGCTCCCCTGTTGTCCGAAAGCGGACGACCCCGTCGATGACCTCTGGATGCCAGTGCGCAGGCGCACGACCAGCTGCCCTCCCTCCCGCAACCATCCCGCCCTGTGAGCATGCGCAGTCCCTGAGAGTCCCAGATTTGGACTGGGCACCATCATGCTGCAGAATGAGAAGGGAGGGAGAGTGTGTGGGATGGGGATTGACAGCTTTTAGGGCATGAGGGAGGAAAAGAAATGTAGCATAAACATGAGAACTGTCTCTGCTGGATTTCTATCTTGTACTGACAGTGATGCAATCTCCTTATGCAGGATTGTGTGAGTGAGGCTTTGCAGTCAGAAATCTCAAAACGAACCTTTGTGTTACAACAGGACAGTCACTTGAGCAGCAGGATCTGAATGTTATTATCAGCCTGCGACCTTAGATAGAGAAACGTTCTGAATAAAAACCGAAAGAACGCTGTAAATCAGAAACGAAAACAGAAGTCGCTGGAAAAGCTCAGCAGGTCTGGCCGCGTCAGTGGAGAGAAATCAGAGTTAACGTTTCGGGTCGAATGACCCTTCCTCCGAGAAATGTTCTGTTTGTTTCGAATGATGTGACGAGACAGCACTGTGGCTGGAAAAGCACAAAGTCACACCAGGGGTGAGGCCGTTCACCTGCTCCATGTGCAGGAAGGGATTCACCCAGTCGGCCAAGGTGGTGATCTCGAGAGTGTTTCCTGGAGAGTCGACCGTGGAGAGAGCTTTAACCAGTTACACAACTTGAGAACGCGTTGTGGTGCATTTCCTGTGCACGTGGACAAGATTTCAATAAACGATTGAGTCTGGAGTGACAGACCATGCACCATGGAGAAACCGTGGAAATGTGGAGTCTGTGGGAAGGGATTCAGAACCCCGTCCAAGGTGGAAATCCATCAACGCAGCCACACGGGAGAGAGGCCTTTTACTTGCTCCGAGTGTGGGAAGGGATTCAGTGATTCAACCACCCTGTTGACCCACCAGCGAATTCACGCCAGGGTGAAGCCATTTGCCTGCCCTGACTGTGGGAAGGGGTTCAGCCAGCTGTCCCATTTGCAGAGACACCAGCGGGTTCACACAGGGGAGAGGCCGTTCGCCTGCTCTCGGTGTGGGAGCACATTCATGGACTCATCTGCCCTGCTGACGCACCAGCGGGTTCACACCGGGGAGAGGCCATTCGCGTGTTCTGAGTGTGGGAAGGGGTTCAGTCAGTTATCGCACTTGCAGAGACACCAGCGGGTTCACACCGGGGAGAGGCCGTTCAGATGCTCTGAGTGTGAGAAGAGATTCAGTGACTCCTCTGGCCTGTTGAGACACCAGAGGGTCCACACCGGGGCAAGGCCGTTCACCTGCTCCGTGTGCGGCAAGGGGTTCACAGATTCTTCCACCCTGCGGACCCACCGGCGGGTTCACACTGGGGAGTGGCTATTCACCTGCTCCGAGTGCGGGAAGGCCTTCACCCAATCGTCCAGCCTGCTGACCCACCAGCGGGTCCACACTGGGGAGAGGCCGTACACCTGCCCTCACTGTGGGAAGAGCTTCAATGATTCGTCCACAATGCTGAGACACCAGCGGGTTCACACGGGGGAGAGGCCGTTCACCTGCTCCGTGTGCGGGAAGGCGTTCACCCAGTCGTCCAACCTGGCAATACACCAGCGAATTCACACCGGCAACTGGCCCTTCAGCTGCCCTGAGTGTGAGAAAGGATTCAATCGGTTATCCAGCTTGCAGAGACACCAGCAAGTTCACAAGTGACTTACAGGAATTGGATTCCACTGATATTGCTTCTGCTAATCGCATCCAGGACTGAACTGCGCTCATTTACTGAAATCTGCCTTGGACTCTGGAACTAAAGACTTCCATCTGACCATTCGTCCATCTTTATCTTTGCTAGAGATTTGGCCCAGCAGTTCCTGATGGGTTATCTTTGTGAATCGACATAGCACCGTCTCCAGTGTATATGCTCCCTTTGTTTGAACGGAGATCACAAACGGTGACAGTTCTCTCAAAGTAGTCTCACCCTGGTTCAGAACACGGAGAACAGGACCTTCCTGCTTTTCAAATCCCTCTCGCCCTCGAGAGATATAGACACGGTGGCTCAGGGGTTAGCACTGCTGCCTCACAGCGCCAGGGACCCAGGTTTGATTCCACCCTCGGGCTGTGCAAAGTTTGCACGTTCTCCCTGTGTCTACGTGGGTTTCCTCCGGGTGCTCCGGTTTCCTCCCACAGTCCAAAGATGTGCGGGTTAGGGTGGATTGGGCATGCTAAATTGCCCCATAGTGTCCAGGGATGTGCAGGTTGGGGGGGGTTAGCCATGGGAAATGCAGGGTTACAGGGATAGTGGGAGTGGGGGGAAGGCGTCTGTGTGAGATGCTCTACAGAGGGGGCAGTGTAGACTCAATGGGCCGAATGTCCTGCTTGCACACTGTAGGGATTCTATGATGTAACAAGTTCAAGGGAGTCTTTTTAAACTCTTAAACATGTGGATTCTGCATCTTTTATTCTTTGACTGTATGTAAGTGTCCCCATTTCAAAAGCCAGTCAGGAAACCAATGAATGTTATATCATGAACAGGGTGGTTAAGAAGGCGTTTAGCACGCTTGCCTTCATTGCTCAGGCCTTTGAGTATACGAGTTGGGACGTCATGTTGAGGTTGTACAGAACATTGATGAGGCCTCTTTCGGAATACTGTGTGCAGTTCTGGTCGCTCAGTTATAGGAAGGATATTGTTAAGCTGGAGAGGGATCGGAAGAGATTTACCAGGATGTTGCTGGGCATGGAGAGTTTGAGTTTAGAAGAAGGGCTGGATAGGCTGGGACTTTTTTTTACTGGAGCACAGGAGGTTGAGAGGCATTGTTTATAAAACAGTGAGTGGTATGGATAGAGTTAGTGGTAGGTGTCTTTTCCTTAGGATGGGGGATTTCAACACTAGGAAACACATTTTTAAGGTGAGAAGAGAAAGATTTTAAAGAAAGAGGGGCAATTTTTTTATACAGAGGTTGGCTCCCCTGTGGAACGAACTCCCTGAGGAGCGAACTCCCTGAGGAAGTGGTGGATGTGGGTACAATTACAATGTTTAAAAGACATTTGGATAAGTACCTAAATAAGAAAGATTTGGAGCAATATGGGCCAGGAGCAGTGTTTAGTTTAGTTTGGGATTATGTTCGGCATGGACTGGTTGGGCCAAAGGGTCTGTTTCCATGCTGTAGGACTCCATAACTATCCTTCTGCTCCTTGCATAGTTCCGATACATAGGATTCATGTTGATGATCAATCATAGAATCCCTACAGTGTGGAAACAGGCCCTTTGGCCCAACCAGTCCACACCACCTCTCAGAACATCCCACCCAGACCCATTCCCCTATAACCCACCTGATCTGTGAATCCAGATCGCAGAGATGGTTGTCGTACATCTTATCAATGTCGATCCCGCACTCAAATTTAAGACTGAGACGAAACAGTCAAATGTGCTCCTTTACCTCGATGTGTCAATTGAGATGCTGTCCTGCAGGTTCTCTCCTGCTGTCCACTGCAATCCTGTGTTCACTGAGCAATGCTCCCGATTTCCACGTGCTACAGGGCTAACTTTGTTGGCAAGCTCCTGATCAACTTGCTCACCGTGCAGAATTATCCTGCAATGCTGAAGATTAACCCTGATAACAATGAGTGAATTGTAGATCATTGTCAAGGCCGGGTCTTGATTTTAAAACCTCATACGGTATGAACCTGTGTGTTTTTGGAAGCTGCAGAGCTAAGAGAAATGATTAAAACAAAGAAATTCCTGTCCAGTCTTCATAAGCTACATATTTTGCCTACTTTCTGTGCAAGTATAAGGCTCATTGAATCGAACAATCCAGGGTTACTGTGTACGAAAGCTGTCGTCTCCTGCAAACTGCCTTTTTGAGCTTGTGCATCTTCTGTTAAGCCTGAATTAAAGCCTAATGCATGAATTGGGTGGCTAGCCAACAGGTGATCGAACAGGTATGAGTCTTAATTGAGTTGCAATTAATGATGCTGTCATTAATCTGCAGGGAGGCAATGGCTTTGCAGTATCATCACTGGACTGTTAATCCAGAGACCCGGAAAACATTCTGGGGACCCGGGTTTGAATCCCGCCACGGCAGATGGTGTAATTTGAATTCACTAAAATATCTGGAACTAAGAATCTAATGATGACTGTGAATCCATTGTCGATTTTAGGGTAAAACATACCTGGTTCACTAATGTCCTTTAGAGAAGGAAACTGCCATCCTTACCTGGTCTGGCCTACATGTGACTCCAGACCCACAGCAATGTGGTTGACTCTGATCTGCCCTCCGGGCAATTAGGGATGGGCAATAAATGCTGCCTAGCCAGCGACGCCCTCATCCCGTTAATGAGTGAAAGATATCAGAAAGACTAAATTCTATTTGTTGTGAAAATATAAAACATTAATTTATTTCATGTCTGAACAATGTGCAATGCAGGAGAATGTACCAGTAAGCGAGATTTTCAAGGTCTCAT